GCAGCAGCAGCAGCAGCAGCAGTGTTGCTTGGCGGAAGCTGAAGCCCCATTTGAGGGCCTGGAAGGGAAGGCCCCTGCTGCTGCTGCTGACGCAGCAGCAGCAGCAGGCGGCCCCGCGTGCGCAGCAGCGGCGAAGGGCCCAGCAGCAGCAGCAGCAGCAGCAGCAGCAGCAGCAGCAACAGCAGCAGAAGCAAGCCTCAGCCGCAGCGACTTCGAATGTGATGTTCCTGGGGTCCGATTTGACCAAAGAGACAGAGCCTGGCTGGCCACTTGGCATGATGGTATTTAATTAATTATTTATTTAATTGAATTAATTAAATTAATTTAATTAGTTTAATTAATTCAATTTAATTTAATTTAATTTAATTAATTCAATTAATTAGTTGGATTTGGTTTGGTCGGTTTTAGTCCTTTTGCTGCAGCAGCAGTTTGCTATCCCAATTTCGCGTTTTCACTTTTTAACAAATTAAATTAAATTAATTTAATTTGATTTAATTTAAATTAATTTAATACAATTAATTTGATGTACATTAATTTAATTTTATTTGATTTAATTTAATTCGAGTTAGTTTGATTTAATTTAATCAGTTTAATTAAATTTAATCATATTGATTTAATTTAAATTAAATAAATTTGGTTAATTTAAATGGATTTAAATTGATTTAAATGAATTTAAATGAATTTAAATCCATTTAAATTCATTTAAATCGATTTAAATCCATTTAACTTGATTTAAACGAAAGGAAAGTAGATCTAAACAGATTTAAATGAATTGAAATGGATTTAAGTGACTTTAAATGAATTTAAAGGAATTAAAATGAATTTAAATGAACTTAAAAGAAGCAAAAGTAAAATTGAATTAAAAATTATTTTTTTTCTTTTTGCTGCTCAGGAAGGCGCCACGTGAAGCGCTGCTTCGGAGTGAAGAAATATGGATTTTATAGAGCGAAGTATTTGGCAAGAGCAACAAAAGTGCTTTTTATTAAAAGTTTGGGGGACCGCCGCAGCAGCAGCAGCAGCAGCAGCAGCAGCGGGGGGGGCGGCAGTGCAAGCGGCGCTGCAGGAGGCGCCGGCAAAGCTGCGCTGCAGGCTCTGCAGCCAGCTGCAGCAGCAGACGCAGACGCAGCAGCAGCAGCTGCTGCTGCTGCTGCCGGGCTGCTCGAGCAGGAGGCGCAGCAGCAGCAGCAGCAACGGAGGCAGCAGCAGACGGCTGCTGGGATGCGCCTCAGAGACAGTGCAGCAGAGAAAGAAAAGGACCACCAACAGCAGCAGCAGCAGCAGCAGCAGCAGCGCTTGCTGCTGCTGCAGCAGCAGCAAATGTGGGCCTCCCCAGAGCTTCTGAGAGCAGCAGCAGGCCTCATGCTGCCTTCCCCCCCGCGGACTCCCTTGTCAGCGGACGCGAGCTGCTGCAGCAGCAGCAGCAGCAGCAAGGGCGCAGCAGCAGCAGACGCTGCACCAGATGCGGCCTCCTGCGCAACAGAAACTGCAGCAGCAGCAGCAGCAGCAGCAGCAGAGCCCGAGCTGTCTTCGAATGAGCTCGAAGCAGCGCCGGCGCGGCGGAGCGTTTGCTGGCGCGCTGCTGCTGCTGCTGCTGCTTCTGCGGACGCCGCAGCAGCCCCCACCACCGCAGCAGCAGCAGCAGCAGCAGCAGCAAAAGGTGCTGCTGCTGAAGACGGCTACTTGCGGCTGCTGGACTTAATGGACAAAGTCAAATGGGACACTCTTAGTGCTGAAGAAGCAGCAGGACTTATCAACGAAATCCCCAGAGTTCGGGGTAAATCTTTGTTCTTTTTTTCCTTTTTTGTTTTCTTTTTGTTTTCTTTTTTGTTCTTTTTGTTTTCTTTTGTTTTCATTTCCCTCTGCGTTTTCTTTTTTCTCCTTTTTTTTCCGCTTCTTACTTGTGTTTAGTTGCTTCTCGGCTGTTTGCTGCTGCTGCTGCTGCTGCTTCCAGCTGCTGCTGCTGCTGCTGCTGCTGCTGCTGCTGCTGGCTGCTGCCGCTTCCAGGTTCCCTGCTGCCGCTGCTGCTGCTGCTGCCTCCCCAGCCCCTGCCGCTGCTAGCGCACGTGCTGCTGCTGCTCTCGCAGCCCGACCTCGCCTCCGCTGCTGCTGCTGCTTCCTCACCGCCGCCGCTGCTGCTGCTGCTGCTGCTGCTGCAGGGGTTTGCTTCGACCGCAAGGGTTTGTACTGGATCAGTCAGTGGCACGCGCGGCAGAAGAAACACCGCGAGTGGTTTCCAGTCAAACGATTAGGGTTTAGGAGGGCCTGGAGGTTGGCGGTTTGCATCCGCAGAGACGCGGAAAAGGTGGAAGAAGAACCCACCAACTACCCCTTCATCCCCGTGAGGGTTTAGGGTTTAGGGTTTAGGGTTTAGGGTTTAGGGTTTGGGGTTCAGTTTCTAGGGCCAGGGAGCGCAGCACGTGCTCGTCCATTCCGAAAGTGCCTTCGTGCCCACGTCTTGAGTGTAGGGTCTAGGGTTTAGGGTTTAGGGTTTAGGGTTTGGGGTCTAGGGTTTAGGGTTTAGGGTTTAGGGTTTGTGTGCAGGAGCTGGAGGAGGTGTTGGGTGTGACATACCAGCGGAACGAGCACGGGCGGTGCTGGGTGGCTTATTACCTGGAGTCAGTGGGTTGTTCCAGCAGCAGCAGCAGCAGCAGCAGCAGCAGCAGCAGCAGCAGCAGGTACCGCGTGGGCATTCGCCACTTTCCCGTGGGCGAAGACGGCTTCGAAGCAGCAAGACAAAAAGCTGTTTCTCTTGTCCGTTCTTCTCCCCTTCCTTTATCTCTTTTT